TATTACATTTGTCGTACGACAAATTTTTCAAGCGTGTCGATTGGCCGCTGAATAGAAAGTTTCTAGATACTCGAGAATTTTACTATCCTTCAGCCAATCAATACGTTTAAAAACTTTGTCGTACGACAAATGTAATATCAGCCGTAGTCGTAAGAATAGTCGACTATGATTGGTCAATTCTTATGTGTCTGACGAAATTGACCAATCGCAGTCGATTATTCTTACGACTACGACTCTGCGACTCGCATTGACTACGTTTCCACTGAGGGTCAGAGTCGGGCTAGAGTCGGGTCAATCGGGTTGGGGTGAGCGTTTTTGCGGTGGAAACACCAAACCCCAACCCGATTCTGGGGAGCGATCGCGTGCACCGATCGAATTCGAATTCGAGAAGGAATATGCCATCCGATACCACTCTTCGTACATGATCAATCTATGGTCTGAGGGAAACTATCCTATAATAAATAAGCATGAACCATGAAACCTGTAGAGTAGAGACGTATGAGAAGTCGACCGATCGAATTCGATCGTGCACGCGATCGTTCCCCTGACCCGGCTCTAGCCTGACTCTGAGGGTGCAAACTCATAGAGCGGAACGGTGTACGCAGAAAATCGCGGAACGACAGCTTCGACCAATCACGAAAACATTGGAATACTCGTGATTGGTCAAGGCTTCCGTTCCGCGATTTTCTGCGTACACCGTTCCGCTCTATGAGTTTGCACCCTGACCCTCAGTGGAAACGTAGTCAATGCGAGTCGCAGAGTCGTAGTCGTAAGAATAATCGACTGCGATTGGTCAATTTCGTCAGACACATAAGAATTGACCAATCATAGTCGACTATTCATACGACTACGGCTTTACGACTTCTATGTAGAACCACTGGCCAAGGAATTTGAAACACATCGGCGAGCTGCACGCGGTGCGCTCCGATTGGCCGCGACATCGCGGAAGGCACGTTTTGTCGTCTGGTCCGCCTAACCTTGAAGGCCAATCTGTCGGATGTTTCGAATGAAACTACTTGGAGCAATTATGATCTAGTCAAGAGGCAGAACGAACGGGATTCAGGAGACGTTCGCCTCTCACCCTCCGCGAATAAAACGGACGCTTCTCTCAAGTGCTTCCTCTCTGTAATATTTTTTTTTCCTTTTGTAAATACATTCCGTTCGCGTCGACAGCCGGTGCGGTATAATGCGAGTGCCGACCAGCGTTGCTTTCCTCAGCATTTTCGTGATCGCATCCACTCGCATGAGCGACGTCCAATGCGAGAAAGGACAGCCGGGCGAGGAGGAACTCAAGTCCCAGAACTTTCCTCCCTGCGCAGCGTGCAAGATACTTGCCAACAGTTTCAAAAAGGTAAACAATCCCACCCCCTCCTTTCCTCGAGGTATTTAATCAGTTGTATTGTCGTCGTTTTGTGTTAAAACTGTCAAGATAGCCATAACAGTTTCGTCGCGTCGTTGGAGTATGTGATTTTAAGTTGTCTGACAGTATTCTGACGAATCGTTGTTTCGCAGGGACTAAAGAAGACGAGACGCGGGAACTTCGAGGGCGGGGACAGCGCCTGGGAGGAGGACAAGCTGGGCTCGTACTCAAGAAGCGAGGTCCGACTGATTGAGATACAAGAGAACCTGTGCAGGGATGTCGAGCGCGGCGAGGCGCAGTGCCAGTCCCTGGCCGAGGAGCTGGAGAGCCAGATAGAGGAGTGGTGGTTCAAGCATCAGGACAATCATCCGGATATCTACGATTACATCTGCATTGTTAAGACAGAGCGTTGCTGCCCGAAGGATCACTACGGCCCGAACTGTACGCAGTGTCCGGGATACCCGGACCGGGTCTGCAGCAACAACGGCAAGTGTAAAGGCGCCGGCACGAGGAAGGGAAACGGCGGCTGCTTCTGCGACAGGGGATACGTCGGGGATATTTGCTCGGAGTGCGCTCCGGGATATTACGAGTCTTACAAGGATGAGAAGACCCTGCTGTGTTCTATATGCCATGCGGCGTGCGAGGGACCTTGCAGAGGCGCCGGGCCCAAGGATTGCGAGAAATGTGCCGCTGGATGGTACATGATCGAGGACAAGGGCTGCTTTGATATTGACGAATGTTTGAGGAACGAAGACATCTGTCTTGGCAATCAATTCTGTGTTAATAAAGAAGGAAGCTATGCTTGCTTAGGTATATATGTTATTTGATTGTAATAAAGTAGTTTTGTAACTTAGATGTACGTTAAAATTAAAAGTTTGAAATGTTTTCAGCTTGCGACAAAGCTTGCAACGGTTGCACCGGCGATGGGCCAGATATGTGTGTTAAATGTGCCGATGATTACCATAAAAAGGACAATATGTGCATAAGTAAGTACTTGGAATAGTGATATAATGGAATAACACTTTGAATAATGTGTATTTATGTTATTTGTAGACTCGGATCTTAGTGATATAATGGAATAACACTTTGAATAATGTGTATTTATGTTATTATGTTATGTTTGTAGACTCGGATCTTCTTGGCCGTAAGAAACAAGAAAATCTCGCGAGATATTTGACGTATGTCGGACTCTGTGTGGCGACGTGCATCATTTTGCAACGTAACGTTTATGTAGCGAGCATTATCGGTTTGTTGGTCGCAATATATATATCTGTGTCCGAGTACATGATCGCGCATAGTAATGTCCAGGATACAACGGCAAATATGGATATTCTAGGACCAGCTTAAATAGAAACGCAATTTAAAGAATGTATAAAATTATTTCAGTGTGTTGTATCAGGATACAGAGTCATTATTCATATGTAAAATATATCGTATTAGAATTAATATGTAATTAATATCGTTGTACAAGTTGGAAAGATACCAGAACTTTATTAGTAATATCTTTTCTTGCTATATTTTTGAGAAACTTTGATGTGTTCCTGATCTTACGTGTATACTATCTACGTATGTTTACATAATTATACGATTTTTATTTAGATATCAGTGTTTAAAAGGAAATATGGCCAGTTTATTTTTAATATACCATTTTTTATCTACCAAAATTATTAATGCTGACTTTTTGTCCAATGTGTGTTTATTATTACTTATATAGTTATTGTAAATATTATATTTTAATGTAGAAAAAAATGATAACAAAAGCTATTACAGTTTTAAAATAAGCATCTACATTAAGCATAAATTTACAAAATATATAACATATTACTTAGGCATTTTTATACTCGTAAAAAATTTAAGTGATTTCTGACATAATCTACATACAGTTTCTATATTAATGTCGACTTCAACGAAGAAACATAACAATGCCAATAATTAATATTACATGCAAGTTTTCATATATTTTATTCAGTTATATAGAATTTATTTACTGCATACGAACATGAGGGAGTACCATGTACCTTTATAGAAATTTATGTTAATGTTCATTAAAAAACTGAGACTATATATTGTGCATTTAGTATCCAATATATTTGATTAACTCATGTCAATACATTATACATACATATATTATATCATATTGACAGATAACTAATATTCAACACTACAAATATACTGCTTAAGTAAAATTATATCCTATTTCACTCCTATTATTACGTGTTAGTTAATTCCACAATTATATAGAAATATCAAAATAATATGCAAATATTTCTTATCGTTAAGTTATAAAATTAATTATAGTAAAAATACCTAGAGTATCATAGTAGTATTCACGGTAAGCACAGATTTGAGTGAGTTAAACCGAATGATTTCGATTTTTTAACGTAAAATCATTCATCGTTAATTTTTTTAAACTAAATAATTGCACGATTAATTTGTAATTGATTTACTGTTTATATATCTGAAGCATTATAGATAAGGAAGGATTTAAAGAAGTGATTATGTAACTGTACAGTCAACACCAAGGACAATACGAAAATTAACAACAAGACTGACAATGACTTATCGTGTAGTCATATGTTCTGTTTTATAATGCGAGTTACGATTTGCTACATCGTGCGTATGAGGATATGTTTCAAAAATATTATCCAAGTTTAAGGAAAAGTATTTTTTTGATAATTTATAGTATTTAACTTTGGACATACATTAATGCATTGCTCCACGATTAAACGTACAAGTATTTTTTCACATTAAATTTCTCATTTATAAATGCAACCTATTATTAAATTGACATACTGCGAAAACATAAATAAAAAACATATTCACGTAACCTGCAATAGGTATAGAAACGTAACACATAAGAAATTCCATAGAAATTGCCCTTCTGTGATACTAGATGGCCAAATATTGTAGTACTTTCTCGTATTTAAATTTTGCTCACTTTTACTATATATTCTGTGGCGCAGAACCTTCGTACATATGTAACAACTTTATATCCATGATATACTTTTTGAATTGTTTAAGTTCTTAAACTTCTGATAAAGGTCTAAAATAAAATATTTCTTCCACTTGTATAGACATACACGTTATATTTTATTACAAATTATACTAAATTTATTAAAAATTTCATCAAAATGTCACGTAGTTACCTAGAAATAAAGTTCTATAATCTAACTAACACTATTAGGTAGTCAAACTGAAAGATAGTTTCTCGTATTTAAATATTAATATACTTCCTTTATATGTATATGTTCTACACGTATTAAATAACTTATAATAAGCAACTCAATATTATTCATAAATATATACTTTTAGGTACTGTTACTTGAAAAGTATTATATTATTCAAATAATTCGTATTTTTAGCACAGAAACGTTTAGTGAAATAATACTGCATCCATTGCTTGCAGTGAAAATTAGCTAATAAAGTTACCGCTAAATAACTAAACTTAAACACAGTCTCTCGTAAATAAAATTTAACATATTTTTTCTATAAATGTCATTTTAATAAAGTTATAAATTGTTAGAATTTATAATACTCAATAACGAGAAGTGATGTATGATTTATCATAAATTTTTCGGAATATTACTCTATTCCATTAAAGCAATTCATGTTAATTTATTTATATTAGTATCTCAATCGACCGAAGTACTGAAAACAAACTACTTTATATTATTAACAATGAAATGTAAGTGTGAGAAGAAACGATTTAAAAGAAAACTATGAAATTTTCGGATTCCAATTTAATAAATTTAACTATATATTATATGTATGTTTTTACATTAAGATATACATAATGTATTTCAATATATTTCAATATATTGAATATATTTACAATGATATTATAAGATTATAATAGAATTAACAATGTCACGTTTAATTCGATCATGTTAATACTTGCTCTGCAATCACTTGCAGAATACAATTAAGAAGTACTATTTTCCGCCACTAGATGGATGAATACAACAGCACTTTCTCGTATTTAAGTTACGTTTACTACTAGTATATCTTCTGACGATGCACAACACTATGCATCAAACAATTTTATTATCCATAATCAATCTTTGGATGTTTTTGTGGTTAGATTACCTAATATGAACTCAAAAGAAAATCGTTTATGCTGAGTAAGCTCACGTATGTATGTATAAATTCATTCAAATGCCTATTGCTATTGTGAGTATGTCAGTTTGATTATTTCTCCTCTTTTTAAATCATGTTATGTATCAATCTTTTCATTAATAATGTGATTGATTCTCGTTAATTTTATTTTAATTTTCGAATTTCGCTATATTTTATTGAACAAATTCTGTATGCATTTGTATAAGTACACCTTAAATCGTCGATCCCTTTTACATTACGCATACGCTCATTAGGGCGCGTGAGTTCATGAAATATCACGACGAACCATCCCAGAAAGCCGGGCCGAGACGCGTCGAGACAATCCCGCTATTTTTCGCAAGCGCAATTATCTTTTCACGCGCGTCGACGTCTAAATTTCTCTCCTCCCCCCCCCCCTCTCTCTCTCTCTACTATCCCCCTCACCAGGAGAATCTAACCTCGCATCTACGGACGACCCGAGTCGAACGACTCGCCGCGAAAATCCCACGAACGTCCGCGCTCCAACGATCATCACGTAGACCCGCGAAAGAGCGGGCGCGAAGAATACACACGCCGCACGTCCACCGTCCAGGACACGGACGATCCCTCGCATAAAACCTCGCGTTCGTCCGCCCCTACAAACGCGTCACACGTCGCAGGCGACCGTCCGCGGCGCGTAGCAAAGAGCGAGGCGCCCGTGCCGACAGGTCGATAAAGACGCCCGGCACGCACGAGACACGGAAGACCTCTCGAAAACATCATTTACCGACGCGTTTCGGACGAACGCGCGCCACAGCGCTCTCTCTCTCTCTCTCTCCCCCTCCCTCTTTCTCTCCCTCTCTCTCTCTCCCTCTCCCGCAATCAAACGTCGCCCGCTTCCGCCGCGTTTCCGCGCGCACGGCCGGACGTTCTCGGCTCCCCCGTTCGCTCCCGGAAGTGAAGCGTCTCGCGGCGGCCGCGCGCGCGGCCGACCGCTCGCGCCGCGCGTTTCGCCGCGGCCGATTCGCGACGGCGACCCGCGCCGTCGCCGCGGGTCACCCTCCTTCCCTCCCTCCGCCCCCGCGCGCGCTTCAAGTATCCGCGCTTCGTATCCACGAACGCGCCCGCCGGAAGATCGGCGGACGCGGGCTCTCTCTCGCGCGCGCGCGCGCGCGGCGGCAGAAGAGGACGACGGAACTCGCGCCGGAAAGAGCCTCGGAGTCGCGACCGACGGAATCCGCGCGCGCGCGCGCGGCTAACGACCTCTCGATATTCTTCTTCCCGCGCCCTTCGTCCACGCCGCCCCCCCCCGCCCTCCCGCCCCCCTGGCGCGGCGTTCTTTTCCACTCTCGTGCCCCGCGGGGGCGCAGGACTGTAACCCTAGGCGCGCCCGGTTCTCCCTTGCTTCCCGGGGGTTTTCGGGGACCGTCGGCCGCGTCCTTGGGTCCCCGACCGGCGCGGCCGCCCGTGCGAGTGTTTCCGTTCGTCGAGGGCGAAAACCGCTCGAAGCGGGAGGACGATCCCCCTCGTCTCCGGCGCGCCGGGCGTCCGTCGCCGCGGCTGCCCCCCGGGACCGCGGACGGTTTCCCGCGGTTACGTTCGCGTACCTTTTTTCATTTTTGTGCGTGCGCTCGGCGCGACTCGCACGTTTTTTTTTTTTTGAGCGACGCTCGACTCGATAACTGCCCTCGCACTTGTCGCATCGTTTTCGGCGGCGGCTGAGAGTCGTTCGACCGCGACACGTTCGCGGGAACGAGCTCGTTTCCTGACGGGGCGCGGTTAGGCGCGATCGACTCGGAGCGGACGCCCGGATAATTGTTAATTGTTTGTACGAACGCGGTATCGGGGTGTATTGCGTGTGGGATTGTGCGATAATCGTTACGTTGCACGTCGTGTACGCGGCGCTACTTGGGGAAGAGAGTGGGCGGTGGGATTTAATTTATATAATGCGCTTGAATTTGCGAGCAAGTCTGAAACGGTCTGTAGAGGCGGTTTGAAGGATACATTTTGTCTCTGATCTTGGGGATTCGTGTGAAACCTGTTTACCGTCTTAACACACGCATCGAGATATCGCGCGGCTGTCTGAATGGCAGCTTCGTGGGTCGACGCTAGATGGCTAGAGCTGAGAACAGTTTCTCGTATTTAAAATTCACTTGCTTCTCTATATATACTCAACGTTAGAGAACTATTTCATAAGCAATACTCAATATAATACTTATATTATATTTTTGAATGTAGCTCTTATTCGATAAAAACGATAATGTGGGTTTAAAAGATAAATTAGTTTTAATAGGATGTCGGAGACTTGGCAGTTTCTAGATTTCATCCATCTCTTAAGATGTCAATGGGATAATCTATGTGTAATTATTTTGTGTCATTTAATTGAACTTCTCGCCTAAAAAATCTACGTTTTGCTTTATTATTTACTTTATCAGTCGTTTAATATCTGTAACTACGCGATCAAAACAATTCACTGTGGAAAAAAAATCTTATAAACTTCTGTGTCCTAATAAGAATAAAAATTATGGAGTCACCGTATTTTTCGGAAGGGCCATTTTATTTATTAATAAAAAAGATTAGCACTCTATCACAAAAATTCATTTTTAAAGGAACAAGGGTTTCCAAAATTTTTCCGTTGGTTTAAATATGTGTATGCATATTATATAATATATAACATAAGGCATGTTCATAGTCAATTCTTATATTTAAGATTGTTTTAAATACATATTCGGAAACTATTTAGTCGAAAAAATTCTTCGTACAAATACAGCTATACAGCTATACAGATCATTTTACTGGTTAAGAAATATTTCAAGGAGTATTTAAGACGATCCTTAAATATGAGAATTGATAAACAAACCTTAGTGCGCACTCAATGCGCATTCGCTAGCACCAACAGAGTTCGCTATTTCAGAATAGAATACGGATATCTGAAAAGATTCTTTGCTTCAACACTAGATGGCTGAATATGAAAGCATCCTCTCGTATTTAAAATCTTAATATTTCCCATGTATATTACATGGTCATGAGTATACATGGTCATGAGTATACATATGACAAAGCAATACTCAATATAAAAATATCCATTTTACTTTTTGAAAGTACAGTTCTT